CATAGAAATTACAGGTGGCTATATAACGATCGGCTATCGTGGTACATTTGCATTCGGACGTGATGGACAAGCGGATGTGAAATTCCGTAAGCTACATCGCATTCTTGTATGTGGTAAAGTTGCTCTGTGCCGAGAAGTGTTCGGTGAGACACTCAATGAAAGCCGTGACCCGGATCGTGAAGGCCAGGAGCGCTACACTTCTAGGCTTTACCTCAAGCATCAAAGCTTGGAAAAGGTACCAGTTATGACTAATAAAACGTTATAATAGGAAAAGATGAAAAAAAAACAAAAAAAGGAAAAAAAGGTGAGAAATGAAAATGAAAAAAATTGTGAGATTATTATAATAGTAAGAAGTGTTTCGGTCCATTAAGTCGTATACATTACTTAACGGTAAGAAGTGTTTCGGTCCATTAAGCCGTTTTTTGCATAACCCTGCTTCGTCTAAAGCATTTTAAATTGATTTCATTCATTTCGAACTGATTTTTAAAATAGGGCTAGTGGGCCAGTTAAATTATGCTGTGTGCTCAAGGCACTACCAACATCTCCGAAAAAACATAAAAGTCTGATGTGAAGGCGCACATTTGATAGAAAGGCATGCTCAGCTTTTGGAAAAAAGTGCTTCCTGCACAAAATGACGTCTTACTACCCAAAAAGCAATTCGTTTTAGCTAAAATTTGCAATTTTAACTAAATTTTTTGCACTTTAGCGTCATTACAAGTAATTTCGGCATCAGTAAATAAGACAAAAAGGCAACACACGTTTCGCTTCCCCGACTTTTTTCTCTACTCCCTTCCCCCTCCCCCTCCCCCCTTGGGCAAACAACTGCATGGAGTGGACAAGGCCGATAAAGGATAATCAGCGCAAAGCTGGTACAGGTGCATCTAGTATCATGTCTCGCGGGCCCTCACTAAGACACATTTTCAAAGCAATTTCTACAAAAAAACCGCAAACAAAAACTTCATAGCAACCTTACAAAACCTTAAAAACTCATTTCTTTGCCTTTCTTTAAAAAAAAAGCTAAAAAAAAAACTCAAAAAAAAGTTTTTTTTTTCAACAAAAAGAATAAACATGACGATGAGATGGAAGCCGTTCAAAGTGCCAGTATTGCAGGCATGTGATACGCTTGCCGAGAAAGGTTTCAAACTTCTTGCAACATGTTGCAGTGGTGCGAATGGTCTTGTTGCTACGCAAGGGGCTGGTCCATTGCAACAGGTAATCATAAATGCTTTTGATTTTTTTTCCAAAAAAAAATTTATGCAAATATTTTTACTCCTGCGTATCGCTGACAAGAATTAGCCATCAGGAAGATAAAATAGACGATACTTTTTTAAAGCTAACTTCTTGTAAATCCCGAAAAAAAAGAAAAAATGCTAAAAATAGGAATTCGCCGATCCAGGTGCAACAAAACCCCTGGTATTATCATAAGCTCGAAAAAGACAACTGAAGCTGTCTCTTATCCCCTCTTCTAGATGTTTTTTTGCGGTCAGTGAAGATCATATCCTTTAAGGGTTGGCAAGAGCCTACAAAAAGATACATGTATAAATTAATGGGGAGAAAAAAAAAGCGAAAACTAAACGTGATAATACACGCCGCTATGCATGAAAACTGCCGTTGACCGACCACTTTTACACCTCTACCGTTAGCATGAGTTTTACCATTGCTATCATATCACGATTAAGCACTGTCAATATAATATCTGTTACTTTTTAACACATTCATTTTCACTGCGACTATTATTATTTGCTTTATTATTGCAATGTAATTTTTCACCTATTGTTTGTAACTGATGAGGTCCAATTGCGGTACGGAGTTAAGGCGCATAAAACTTAGCGATCCAAAATGTCGTAACTTCAACTAAATTATTAATTTTTTAGTAAATACTACAGGTTTCAGTCTTTTGTCCAGTTGTAGTGCTGAGTTAAGACGATATATAACTTAATAACCAAAATTTTTGCCTTAATTTCAATTAAATTAATTTTTCGTAAATACCATAGGTTTCAGCCTTTCTTTCCAGTATTCTTTACCATTAGCTAATAATCGCCTTTGAAAAACGAATATAATTCTAATAAAATATTTCAGCATCTAAATATTAAAAAGATATTCAACTCTCGGTGCTATCACTGTAAAATTTTTATCCTTTTTTTACATTTTCTCTTGTTTATTTGTTGCAAAACGAGA